ACCCCTCTTTCCTCTTCAGTCGATTAACCTCCCGACTCTTTGTCCTCTTCTCAATCACCATCTCACACACTTGTCCCTGGCTGCCCACTCATATCACCGCCTCCGATGTCGGTTCCCCAATGCGACACGCCTTTGCCTACTTCATCGAGCCCGACCTCTACAACAGACCTCGACCCTGCCACTTTGACAGGCCAGAATACCTTGTCCAACAGCTCATCCACTATCAGCCCTCAGCGAAACACCATCACCACACATCCCACAATCAAACCCGAACCTGAACCACCCACCACCTCATCAACCGAAGCTCCTATGCCACTACCTTGCCCGACACGAAACACTCATCCCATGATTACACATTCCAAAAACAACATCACCAAACCATCACCCAAAATCGCCAACCTCTCCACCCTTCCATCACCACCGGACATAGAACCCACTACCGTCTCTCAAGCTCTAAAATCACCGCATTGGAGGCAAGCAATGACGGAAGAATTCGATGCTCTTGTGAAGAATGGCATGTGGGAATTAGTTACAGTCTGCACCACCGAGCCCACACTATGATCATACGCCAAAAAATCCTACCGAAACCGCAAACACAATCTCATCACCACCGGACACACAAACCGCACCACCCGAACCTTCCGCCCCAAACAACCGTCATCCGATGACAACTCGTTCAAAGAACAACATTACCAAACCTTCGACCAAATACGCCAATACCATCATCACGATCCCTCCATCCGAAACAGAACCGAGAACCGTCTCTCAAGCTCTCAAATCTCCGCAATGGCGACAAGCCATGACTGAAGAGTTTGATGCTCTCATCAAGAATGAGACTTGGGAATTGGTTCCACCGGACACGACTCACAATATTGTTGGGTGTAAGTGGGTATATCAGACTACACGTCGTGTTGATGGTTCTTTTGACAGGTGTAAGGCTCGGCTTGTAGCTAAGGGATTCCACCAACGACCCGGAATTGACTACCACGACACATTTAGCCCTGTTGTCAAACCCGCAACAATCTGGCTCGTCCTAAGCATTACGATAACACATGGTTGGATTTTACGCCAACTCGATATCAACAACGCATTTCTCCAAGGACATCTTCATGACGACGTGTATATGGTACAACCTCCCAGGTTTGTGGATCGAGATCAACCGGATCATGTGTGCAAACTACATAAGGCTCTCTACGGCCTTAAACAAGCTCCGCGGGCATGGTACACCGAGCTCCGACAGTTCCTTCTTGGTTTGAGATTCACTAATTCCCTTGCCGATACATCCCTTTTTGTCTTCCGAGAAGCCGACGTTGTCCTTTATCTTCTCGTCTACGTCGATGACATTGTCATTACCGGCAACGACTCCACAAGGTGCAAACATTTCATCTCTCTACTCTCGGCTAGATTCTCGATTAAGGATCTTGGTCCTTTGACCTGTTTCCTCGATGTGGAAGTTTCTCGGTCTATGGATGGCATCTACTTAACGCAAAAACAGTACATTCAAGACTTGCTCACATGTACCAATATGGCTCAAGCGAAACCGGTCACCATTCCTATGGCGTCGACATGTTCCCTTACTCTCTCCACGGGAACTCCTTTAGATGATCCAACCGAGTATCAGAATGTTGTTGGCAGTCTCCAATACCTCCATTTCATACGTCCAGACATTGTTTATGCGGTCAACAAGCTTTCCCAATTCATGCACCGACCATCCTCCGATCACTGGCAAGCCGTGAAGAGGGTTATGCGATATCTTGTTGGTACATCTTCGCTTGGAATCTTCTTAGGCGTTAAGAATACTTCGGTTCTTCATGCTTTTTCGGATGCCGATTGGGGTGGCAACAAGGATGACTTTACGTCAACGAGTGTCCACATTGTCTACCTTGGTCGCCATCCTATTTCTTGGTCCTCCAAGAAGCAGCAGATCGCAGCTCACTCTTTTACAGAATCCGAGTATTGCTCGGTTGCTTCCGCAGCTTCGGAGATCTGCTGGCTCTCGTCCCTCCTCACCGAGCTAGGTGTCCCACCTACATATCCTCCGGTTATTTATTGTCACAATTTCGGGGCAACATACCTTTGCTCGAACCCGGTTTTTCACTCTCGGATGAAACATGTGGCCATTGACTATCATTTCATTTGCGGGTTGGTTTAAGACGGTCATCTTAGGGTCACTCATGTCTCATCACACGATCAATTCGCTGATGTTCTTACAAAGCCTCTACCTCATGCTCGCTTTGATCTCATTCGTGTCAAGATTGGACTCGTTCACGAGCCTCATCTTACGGGGCGTAAAGGAAGAAGATATTCTTGTTATGATATTATATTATTCTCCCTAATCATTTCCTAATTATGTGGCATATGTGCTATTTAGTTACTATATTATTCTCTCGACATGTACATATAACCCTTGTAATTCATTTGTTAATACGTGTGGAAAACATTCCCGAAACCCTACTCTATAATAACTATATATCTATATATTAATATGTAGCATCAAATTGCTTACAAAAATCTTTTTTATAACTTTCAAAGCGAAATTTTTTGTCTTTTATTTGAAAATCTAGATTTAAACAATAATCATTAGGATGGTGGATTACGATTTAGCTATTAGATTTAGAATTTAGTTTCTTTTGAATTTATGCCTTAAAAAGTTTAGTCTTCAAATATTACAAAAAAAAAAACTATTTTTTAATTGTAGTGGGCTTTTAGGCCATTTCATTAACTCATTTATTTTGCAAATTATTACCTTCCGGACCAGAATTATTAGTTAATGGGCTTAGAATCTCAGGCCCAGTAATTCAGACGTATATATATCGGCCCCTTGCGGTCTGTTAAAACCCTAGAACTCCCTCTGTACGAAGCCGCCTTCATCGTGAGCCTTCTCTGTCTTCTAGGGTTTCGCACAGTCGTATTCCCACTCTCTGCAAGCAAAAATGGTGAGATTCCGTGGTTTTCATCTCTTCCGTGGTCTAGTGTGGTTTTTTTTTTCTTTGAGAAGTTTCCTTTTCTGGTTATGGAAATTTTGGATTCGAGATTCTTAGTTTTTTCGTGTTGGATCTATTGGATTTTGTCAGGTTCTGCAAAACGATATCGATCTGCTCAACCCTCCGGCCGAGCTCGAGAAGAAGAAGCACAAACTCAAGCGTCTTGTGCAGTCCCCTAACTCCTTCTTCATGGTTCGTCTTTTTCGTTTTATTTTCGATTAGGTTTCGGGAGTTCGATGGTTAATCGAACTAGGGTTTCGTGGAAAGGGATAATACAATTGTGAAACCGGATCTTCTTCATAAATGTCTGATTTTTTTTAAATTTTCCTGAATTTGCAGGACGTCAAGTGCCAGGGATGCTTCAACATGTGAGTTTTTAACCATCCTTGTTACAAGAATTTCAATCTTAGGATTACCTCGTACACAATGTTGTAAAGTAGTTATGTGAAGAGATAATTCTTGTGTGTTTTATGGGAATTGTAGTAATGATAATTCACATTGGATTTCTGTAACACAGAACCACGGTGTTTAGCCACTCTCAGACCGTTGTGGTGTGCGGAAACTGCCAGACAGTATTGTGCCAGCCGACCGGTGGTAAAGCCAGGCTCACCGAGGGCTGTTCTTTCAGGAGAAAGGGAGATTGAGGTTTGAATTCGATGATCGGCCATCGTTTTTTACCAAGATGTTGCTCTTAAGTTGCTCAATGTCGGGTTTTGTCTAAATTTTGGATTCTCTTGGTTGGTTGTTCTCTAATGTCTATGGATTTTGGTCTACTTTAATGTTTGTTTAAGCAATAGAATTGGCTTTTATTTGAAATCGTATCGCAAATCGGTTGTTTTGCTTAGCTGGGTTTTATCCATTTGCTGAATGGCCTGATTCGAAGTAGATGAACGATCTGTCTTTCCGATGGTGTTGCTGTTGTAGTTGTTGATGTCGGGTTTTGTCTGAATCTTGGAATCTTGGATTATCTTGCTTGGTAGCTCTCACCTATGGATTTTGATTCCTAAATCACTACTACTAAATACTTTAATCTTTTGTTTATGCAATAGATTCGGTATCGATATGCAAATTGATAGTTTTGCTAGCACGCCCGGTTTTGTCGTTGTGATCAGTGATCTCTGTCTCATACTATGACAAGCTTTGTTGTCTATGTTGATGTTCATGTGTCAACACTGTTGCATTGTCGTTTAGCTGTTTCGATCATAGTTGTGAAGCCATTGGTTGGATGTGTGTGTATATATATTTATATTTATGTATACATGTCGTTAATCCTGGTCAACCTGTGGGTCGTATGATCCGAGTTCTCATATATCATCAGAACCGTAGATCTAACCTCGTCCTCTCTGCCCTCGCTCTTTGTTGCCTACCCCTCAGAACTCCTTGCCTGTCTCCTTGTCTCATCGTCAATATGTTTGTAATCATCTTGTCATTAGACGAGTAGGGGTGTCAAATGAGCCAGTACGGATCGTTTGAGCCTTGGCTCGTGTGGCTTGGCTCGTTTTGGGCTCGGCTCGTTTTGGGTTCAGCTCGTTAGACTCAACTCGTTAGGCTCGTTTTCTAATGAACCAAAAAAAATTCGGCTCAGATCGCTCATCAGTTTTTTCGATCTGAACGAGTCGGCTCATTGAGTCAGACATATATAATATTTTTTATTTTATATTTATTCTAAATTTAACTATATATTTAAATAAATACATAAAAAATTAATAAAATTTCAATATTTAATATTTTTAATTATCTCCTTCATACCGTCATAATAATTAGGAATTTATAATATCGTATGAATGATGTACAAAAGGAATATAAAATTATATTAGAGTTTTTTTTATATAAATTTAATTTATTTAAAAAAAAGGTCGATTCGTTGACCAGTTCGCGAGCTTGTTGGGCCAGGTTCATTGAACACGTGTTCAATGAGTTTGGTTCGTTAGGTTCGTTTTTTAATGAGCTGAAAAAATCACGGCTCAGATCGCTCGTTTTCTGGCGAGCTATGAGTCAGCTCGCGATCTCGGGTACCTTTGCTTAGCCATTCGACTCGGGTCGTGTAATCTACCTGTTTTAGGCGAGATATTCGATTCAACTGCTGCAAAGTTGGAACAAAATCCGGTTTGATCCACGTTGTTTCCGACTTCGAGCGTATTCGTTATAATACCATTTCTGTTTTCATTTTGAAGATATTATTATATCATTATTTTATTTTATTATATCAACATTGGTCACCTGAGATTCGAATTCTGAATCATTCTGTGTATAATTATCTTAGGTTCAATATGCATGTTGATACAGATTCCGAGACATGGTTGGATGTCTGAATTACTTGAACTAGAAACCAAACTGATGCAAACTAAATAACAAACGGCAAGCGCTATCCAAATCGAATTTGATGCAAAAATTCGTATGAGTATTATTTTTTTTAACCAAATCAAAATGAAATATAAAAAAAAATATCCAAAACCTTTGAAAAAGATATTTTTTTAAAAAAATTAAAACAGGTGGATGTAGTTTTCAAAGTTGAAAAATTCGAATAAAAAATAACTGAACAATCCATAATAGTTCGATCTACCTTCAACGGTTTTTTTATAACTAGATGATGAAAATTTATTATTGGTTATACGAATCGTATATGTATATATGAACGCAATGCTCTGCATATATAAACATACCGACATTTATAATAATAATAATGTAAGAAGATTTAAATCCGAATAACCCTAAAAACCGCCCAAAGGAATCCACTTTTTTTAAATAGAAAAAGCAAAAAAGAATCTTGAACGTAGTCATTATCGACAAGAAATTTCGCGGCGACATGTTACGTGCATGCATGCGTAGAAGCATGTTGACGCCAATTATATGAAACTATAACATAATTAACATTGCGCTTTTTTTTATATATATAAAAAAGGCTTTTTCACTTTTTTTAATTAATTAAAAAGATGATGAAAAACAATGGATTGATTTTGATACAAAATACGATTACGGAATTTAGTACAATGGATCGTACCCACCTTTCTTGAGCTGTAACGTTTCTTCGTCGTGAAAGCATCTTCCTTTATACAAATCAAATAACTTTTTTTTTTTCCGCAGCTTTTTGCTTTTACGATTTTTGGAGAGACACTTTTAAAAAAAAAACTAAGCGACGATTTTGTTATGATTCCTTTGCCGTGCAGTTTGCCTTCAGCGGTGAAAGATGACGATGGATATTTCTTGGTTTATAAATATTTTTTTTGAATATTTTGTTTCATAAAAATTTATTTATAGGGTTGGGTATTCATTAAGAAAAATATAATTATTTTCTAAGACTTTTTCCGTTTTTTTTTCAATTTGTTCCGTTTATTTTTCGGGTTTGGATTCAATTAAGATCCGGTGTATTGGTTTTAGAAAAGTCGTATCCGATCCGAACTTAGAATGAATTTGGTTCGGTTATGATTATAAATTATTTGATTTTGTTAAGTTTTTTATAATCAAATCAAAATATCCTCAAATTAAATTTAATAGCATTTTTTAATTAACAAAGGTATTTAGAAATAAGATCACTAACTAATTAACATAAAGTATGTAGACCTATTCATATAAAACCAAACTATACATGGATAGTGGATGCCTACTTTTGTTGCAATTTGATTAAAGTTCAGCATGTCTAGGTTAAAAAGCGATGATCAATCACATCCAATGGGTTCTCTCCACGTGGCCAACTTGGAGAAGATTACTGCACGATTAAGCAAACCATTAAATAATTAATTAAACTCATCATTCTCTTTTCTATATAAACCCGTGAAGTCTCTCTCCTTCCACTGTTCATTCTTCCATACTAAGCAATAAAAACCCTAAAACCGTTTCTTTGAAACATCTTAGAATTTTGTCCGAATTCTATTTGTTGTTTTATTTTCCTTATCCTTTCTATATACGGTCCTCTTTTGTATACATTTTATATTCTGGTGAAAATAATTATAAAAAAAAACTTATTTTTCTTGAGAGTTTCGGGTCCTGTAAAGGCCGGATGAAGAACAAAGCTAAAGCCTTGCTGAAGCAAATCTTCACGACGCTGAGTTCGATGGCGAAGGCCAAATCGCAGGCCATCAAGAACAAATCTAACGCCTTCAAGACACGTGTCCTCATGTTGTCTCTCGTGGAAAACAAGAACCTGGGGCTCGGTTCGATCTCCAACAAGATTCACAGTCTCCTCAGCCACAACGAAGATCAAGATCAAGAACACGGCGACGACAGTAACAAGGCCATCATCCTCTACAACGCAGCACCGCCGTGCTCCAGCACCAGCGGAGCCATGGATGGTCATGGTCATGATGATGGCGATGGTAAGTATCCTGACTTGAGGCATACGTTATTCGACATAGAGGACGAGTTTCGTGATTTGGAGGAAGCGGATGGAGGAGGGTCGATCATAGAGATGGTGAAGAATTCAAAGGAGGGAGAAGGAGAGAGTTTTAGCCTTGAAAACGAGATCGATCACGTGGCCGATTTGTTCATCTCGAGGTTTCACAAGCAGATAAGGTTGCAGAAGCTCTTGTCTTTCAAGAGGAACCAAGAAATGCTCAACCGTAACGCCTAAAAACATAATATTATTGCATGCACATGGACCATGGAATATTCGATATACAAATCGCTATATATATATATGTGGACGTATATACGAAAAATGTATGATGGGTACGTTATGTTACATTAGAGATATTGTCTCTCTGTTTTTTTTTTTCCTTTTTTTTGTTCTCTTGGGGTCAAGGATCCTTTTGTTTTTGGCATTTCTTTCATCCTCGAGATTAGTCTCTGTATAATCTGTTTTGTAATAATATGGGGATTCTTTTGTTCACATTAATTCACATATTTAGGGTTTTAATTAGTGTTTATTTCTTTTCAGACGTATTTTTTTTATATATATATAATTTGATGGGTTCGGGCTCAATTTGCTTTAAAAATTGTATATGCCAGATTTAAATTAATATAAGTCCAGAGAACAACTAAGATATGTCATTAATAACTTAAACGGTGCCTTTTAATTATATTATTTTTAAAAAAGTGCCTAATAATAATACTTAACATAGGATGTCAATTTTGATCCGAAACCCGGTACGGTCCAACTCGAAAATGACGGACTTCGAGTCTAAATATCTCGGTTTGAAAATTCTTATGTTTTCGTGTTAGACTCATATCGAGTTTTGAGACGATCTGAAAGACCATTTTTTAAAAAATAATAATAAATTTTTGTAATTAAAATAAAATTTAAAGAACCCAAACCCAAAATCAATAAAAGCACACTTTGGGTTTGGTTATTTATAACGGAGATTCACATATTAAATATTGAACTTTAACCAAATTTCCAAATTAAATACTCAACTATCTCACTTCCAAATTAAATACTCAACTATATTTAAACTCACAAATAAAAACTAAACTTTTCAAATTTTAACATATATCTAAGGGATAATCCCAAAAAAAACCTTGTACTTTTTTTTTCGTCGCAATTTAAACCTTATACATTTTTTATCCATAAAAATCCTATACTTTTCAAAATTTTAAAAATTATACACATTCATATACACATATTAATTATTATAAGCACAAAATCAATTACACATTTATTTTCTACAAAATTAATTGCATATTTATTTTATATATTTATATGTATATATATGTTTTATATATATGTGTGATATATGTATTTTTTTCCTAAAAATCATTATATATATAAGAAACTATTTATTATCTGTATATTGTTTTATATATAAGAACCGATCCGATCCGTTATCCGATCCGTATCCAAATCGAAAATTCGGATATCCGGAGTTTACGGATCGGATACGGATATTTATTTTGAAATATTTCCTAGAACAAACAACAACAAAACAAACCCATGCTGAACAAACGAACATCGGAACGAGATCTGGTGGAAAAAATGGCGCAACACGTGCAACCGGGTATTGTATTGGAATTCATCAAACAAGACAACGGTTATCATCTCCGTTAACCCGGAATGAGGTGTGAAATATAAAAAACATCAATCAAATATTACAAAAAAAAGTAAGAATTATTAGGAGGTAACAAACCTTGTGCGGACAGAACATCGAAACGAGATGCGACGACAAAAGGAAAAGAAAAAGGGGTGCAACACGAGGAGTTCCCAGAGGGTCACCCATCCTAATACTACTCTCGTTCAAGCACGCTTAATTGTGGGGTTCTGATGGGATCCGGTGCATTAGTGCTGGTATGATCGCACCCATCACGAACATCGGAACGAGATCCGGTGGAAAAAATGGCGCAACACGGTACTGCATTGGAGTTCATCACAATAAAAGTAAGAATTATTTGGAGGTAACAAACCTGCGGAGTTCTGATGGGATCCGGTGCATTAGTGCTGGTATGATCGCACCCGTCGACTCTTGCGTTCACTGCGTTTTTATCTCTTTCCACCCGCTAGTCCGTTCACGGCCTTTCGCCATTCTCGACTCAAAAGCAAAATATAGCCGCGAAATCCGTGTTCTCCGGTTTTTTCTCAACGGTTTGGTTCTCGTACCATTTCCTCCTAGAACAAACAACAACAAAACAAACCCATGCTGAACAATCGAACATCGGAACGAGATCCGGTGGAAAAAATGGCGCAACACGGTACTGCATTGGAGTTCATCAAACAAGACAACGGTTATCGTCTCCGTTAACCCGGAATGAGGTGTGAAATATAAAAAACATCAATCAAATATTACAAAAAAAGTAAGAATTATTTGGAGGTAACAAATCTTGTGCGGACAGAACATCGAAACGAGATGCGACGACAAAAGGAAAAGAAAAAGGGGTGCAACACGAGGACTTCCCAGGAGGTCACCCATCCTAGTACTACTCTCGCCCAAGCACGCTTACCTGCGGAGTTCTGATGGGATCCGGTGCATTAGTGCTGGTATGATCGCACCCGTCGACTCTTGCGTTCACTGCGTTTTTATCTCTTTCCACCCGCTAGTCCGTTCACGGCCTTTCGCCATTCTCGACTCAAAAGCAAAATATAGCCGCGAAATCCGTGTTCTCCGGTTTTTTCTCAACGGTTTGGTTCTCGTACCATTTCCTCCTAGAACAAACAACAACAAAACAAACCCATGCTGAACAATCGAACATCGGAACGAGATCCGGTGGAAAAAATGGCGCAACACGGTACTGCATTGGAGTTCATCAAACAAGACAACGGTTATCGTCTCCGTTAACCCGGAATGAGGTGTGAAATATAAAAAACATCAATCAAATATTACAAAAAAAGTAAGAATTATTTGGAGGTAACAAATCTTGTGCGGACAGAACATCGAAACGAGATGCGACGACAAAAGGAAAAGAAAAAGGGGTGCAACACGAGGACTTCCCAGGAGGTCACCCATCCTAGTACTACTCTCGCCCAAGCACGCTTAATTGCGGAGTTCTGATGGGATCCGGTGCATTAGTGCTGGTATGATCGCACCCGTCGACTCTTGCGTTCACTGCGTTTTTATCTCTTTCCACCCGCTAGTCCGTTCACGGCCTTTCGCCATTCTCGACTCAAAAGCAAAATATAGCCGCGAAATCCGTGTTCTCCGGTTTTTTCTCAACGGTTTGGTTCTCGTACCATTTCCTCCTAGAACAAACAACAACAAAACAAACCCGTGCTGAACAAACGAACATCGGAACGAGATCCGGTGGAAAAAATGGCGCAACACGGTACTGCATTGGAGTTCATCGAACAAGACAACGGTTATCGTCTCCGTTAACCCGGAATGAGGTGTGAAATATAAAAAACATCAATCAAATATTACAAAAAAAGTAAGAATTATTTGGAGGTAACAAACCTTGTGCGGACAGAACATCGAAACGAGATGCGACGACAAAAAGAAAAGAAAAAGGGGTGCAACACGAGGACTTCCCAGGGGGTCACCCATCCTAATACTACACTCGCCCAAGCACGCTTAACTGCGGAGTTCTGATGGGATCCGGTGCATTAGTGCTGGTATGATCGCACCCGTCGACTCTTGCGTTCACTGCGTTTTTATCTCTTTCCACCCGCTAGTCCGTTCACGGCCTTTCGCCATTTTCGACTCAAAAGCAAAATATAGCCGCGAAATCCGTGTTCTCCGGTTTTTTCTCAACGGTTTGGTTCTCGTACCATTTTCTCCTAGAACAAACAACATCAAAACAAACCCATGCTGAACAAACGAACATCGGAACGAGATCCGGTGGAAAAAATGGCGCAACAGGGTACTGCATTGGAATTCATCAAACAAGACAACGGTTATCATCTCCGTTAATCCGGAATGATGTGTGAAATATAAAAAACATCAATCAAATATTACAAAAAAAGTAAGAATTATTTGGAGGTAACAAACCTTGTGCGGACAGAACATCGAAACGAAATGCGACGACAAAAGGAAAAGAAAAAGGGGTGCAACACGATGACTTCCCAGGGGGTCACCCATCCTAATACTACTCTCGTTCAAGCACGCTTAATTGTGGGGTTCTGATGGGATCCGGTGTAAAAAACCGGAGAACACGGATTTCGCGGCTATATTTTGCTTTTGAGTCGAGAATGGCGAAAGGCCGTGAACGGACTAGCGGGTGGAAAGAGATAAAAACGCAGTGAACGCAAGAGTCGAAGGGTGCGATCATACCAGCACTAATGTGTACCCATCAGAACTCCGCAGTTAAGCGTGCTTGGGCGAGAGTAGTACTAGGATGGGTGACCTCCTGGGAAGTCCTCGTGTTGCACCCCTTTTTCTTTTCCTTTTGTCGTCGCATCTCGTTTCGATGTTCTGTCCGCACAAGGTTTGATATCGAACATCGGAACGAGATCCGGTGGAAAAAATGGCGCAACACGGTACTGCATTGGAGTTCATCAAACAAGACAACGGTTATCGTCTCCGTTAACCCGGAATGAGGTGTGAAATATAAAAAACATCAATCAAATATTACAAAAAAAGTAAGAATTATTTGGAGGTAACAAATCTTGTGCGGACAGAACATCGAAACGAGATGCGACGACAAAAGGAAAAGAAAAAGGGGTGCAACACGAGGACTTCCCAGGAGGTCACCCATCCTAGTACTACTCTCGCCCAAGCACGCTTACCTGCGGAGTTCTGATGGGATCCGGTGCATTAGTGCTGGTATGATCGCACCCGTCGACTCTTGCGTTCACTGCGTTTTTATCTCTTTCCACCCGCTAGTCCGTTCACGGCCTTTCGCCATTCTCGACTCAAAAGCAAAATATAGCCGCGAAATCCGTGTTCTCCGGTTTTTTCTCAACGGTTTGGTTCTCGTACCATTTCCTCCTAGAACAAACAACAACAAAACAAACCCATGCTGAACAATCGAACATCGGAACGAGATCCGGTGGAAAAAATGGCGCAACACGGTACTGCATTGGAGTTCATCAAACAAGACAACGGTTATCGTCTCCGTTAACCCGGAATGAGGTGTGAAATATAAAAAACATCAATCAAATATTACAAAAAAAGTAAGAATTATTTGGAGGTAACAAATCTTGTGCGGACAGAACATCGAAACGAGATGCGACGACAAAAGGAAAAGAAAAAGGGGTGCAACACGAGGACTTCCCAGGAGGTCACCCATCCTAGTACTACTCTCGCCCAAG